CTTTGCTGCATGGGATGACACTCCAACCAACTGAGCCATCAGGTTAGGGCTGAAAGTAAGTATAGTTTTTCTGGGTTTCTACGACGCTTTTCTGAATCATTTGCTGATCTGTTATTCCTGAAAAAAGATGCTTTGTAGCTAGCTTAGCCCTCTGTGAACATCACATTTCAAGATTCCTTTTGAAAAATGATCACATAGAAAGAAATCACGCAAAGGAAAAGATAAATTTTAGTTTAGAACTCATTACTAGATGCAGTAAGTTTTATTTGTTTAAATAAAGAAAAGAAGTATACTATATATCATAGATTTAGTTTGAAACTGCCATCAGAAAAAGAATTCTTTGAGACACAAAACTCTTAGAATGTTTATAAAAATAATAGATGGATAGCACCCGGCTCAGGGGAGCTGAGAGTCTCGCTTCCTGTGCAATTACTCCTGTGGAGAACTCTGAATTGATGGTCTGGAACCTTCCTACTTGAAAGGACCTGCCCAACGCCAAAGTTAGTGGAAGAATCCAACCTTGAAGGAAATGAATCTTGATCAGGGAAGACGATTTTCCCACTAACTACGGAGGAACAATTCTGGCTAGGTAATAAGAATGAACCTTGAAAAAGAATTATCCCAATGGCCCTGTCTGGCTGTGCAGATGAAATATTCAACTAAAGATTCTCTCAAGAGAAGAGACCCTCATGAACCACGGGGTCGATTTGAGCCAGAGAACAAAAGAAGTGCCATTATTGGCATTTGGAGAAATGGTTTAACCTTATTGAAGAATCAAAACACCCACAAATCAGGTCACCATGAGAAAAATGCAGTCGTTAAAACATGACAAAGAGAAACAAATGCAGGTCGGTTTTCCATGTGTGCGAAGGCAATGCAAAGCACCTGCCCAGAGTGGGAAGTCCGTAAAGGCTAGTCCATCCCCTCCTCCAGGCCCCGCCTGGAAGTTTCTAGAGGGCTTCTAATCAAAGCTCACAGTTAGTATAAGATAAATCTTCCTAGAATTTCTTTACCTTCTTTTTATGTCTAAGTTATGTTCATGCATAGCCATACACATTCTGAATTCTATGTGTATGTGCCACCCTGAACATCCTCTAGGTCCGTAATGTGTAAGTTCCACACATCTTTCCAGAAAAACCAATTAGAAGGAATATTAGCCTAAAGTTCTTACAATTTGGAGTCATCAAAAAGATGCCCTAAGATGACAGCTGAAGTCCTTTAAAATAAAAAAATAAAAAAGTACAACTTGGGTTCTCAACATCACATTTTTCTGTATCTTTAAATGTAGCAAGTGAGGTGGGTTTTCATATATTTACATTCTGAATGTATTCCTAGGGAGAAAAAAATTATTCCAATTCTTACAACTTCCAAAGGAGCAGCAATAACTTATTAATTGTGCCCTTGGCGATCTTAAAGTGTGGCATGGAAAACAGCCTTAGGGACTTCTAAAGATGCATACGGTTCCCTTGACACGAGGGGAATCTAGACGTAGAAGTTTTTCAAAACAGCTATGTACACGTTGAAGGAAAGGGTTTAATTAATAGTGTTACAGCTGTGAAGTTAATATGCAGATCCGAGGTCCCATCACAAGGGACTGTTACATCTTTTTTTAAAACAAGTCACTCAGCCCCGAATTATTCCCTTTTACAGCTCTTACGTATTAATGGACTCATGTCTCAAAGGTTTGAAAGATGAAGCTTGTGATGTTTGTTAATTTTTCTCTCAATAATAATAAAGATGATGATGCTGATGGCAAAGATAAAAACCACCATTTACTGAAACATCATAATGTGCCAAGACTCTAAGTCACTTATATGCATTATTGAATTCAACAATTCAGTAAAATCAGTGTTGTGATTTTCCTCATTTTTCAGAAAAGAAAACTAAAGCTCTGGTAGATTATGGAAGTAATCTTCAGTTACCTACCCATAGTCATCCCGACCCCACCATACATGTACATTAAACAATACATTCATTTTCTTCAAGTTCTGGAAATGAATCAGGACCCTCAAGATCACAGTAACAAACAAACGAGGTAGAGCTGGTTGGCAGAGGAATAACAGCAAAGGGAAAACCTGGAGGCTATGATCAAGAATCCCCATAATAGACCAGATGTATGCTTGTTCATGCCCATAAGGATGCATGCTTTCAGTTAATAAGAGTGGTTTGGTACTGCCTGCCAGTGGAGTAACATTCAGATGCATAGAGATGTTGTGGAAACTAACCTGAATCCAGTTTTAGGAGAAAGATTCACTATTTTAGAGTAAATATTTTGTGCAATAATCAAGGTATAAGGAAACTTTTTTTTCCCCTGTGGTACATCTACACAATAAAATACTATGCTGATGTAAAAAAGAAGGAATTCTTACCATTTGCAACAGCATGGATGGAACTGGAGAGCATTATGCTAAGTGAAATAAGCCAGTCAGTGAAGGTGACTTTTATTAATGTACGTACCCAAGAGGGTAATTCTAAGAAATGTGTTCATGAACTAGCAGGAGATGGAGAGCTCTAGAAAGTTAGTATACAAACCAGCACAAATGGACAAGGAATGTCTTACAAAACCCAACCTGGGCGGGTGGCAGAGGTGGTTGGGTTTGTCTGGGTCCTTAGCTCTGCTCTATTTTTCAGAATAGATTTACTACAGATTGCAATTGAGCCTACACTGGTGAACCAGGGAAACGTTATTAGCCTTAGAGGTGGTAAATAGAAGGAAACCAACAGAAAATCTTTAGGATGCTCCTTTGGAATTATCTATCCTTTTAATGACCTAGAATAATTGACTGACTACTTAATAGCATTTTAGTGGATAATGTAATGAGTAACCAAGACTACATATCCATTTTTTATAACCTTGCGCCCAAAGAAATGAGAAAAAACACCTTCTCATGTACACTGATATTAGAAAGACCGTCCATAAAAGTAACTTGGAGCAGAGGAGGAAAATCAGACTTGTGTGGAGCAAATGAATGGCATCATCATTATTTTTTTTTTTATTCCTTCACAGGGTTGCTTGGAAGCTTACCTGAGCTACCACATCTGATACCCTTAAAGCAATGCTAAGACCCCAACAATCATATTTTCTATCCCAACTGGCAAAGTTGCTCCTGTTTTATATCTCACAGAGACTCAGTGGGTTAAATGATTTGCCTAAGGGCCCATAGTTAGCAAGTGCTAAAGACAAGATTGAAAAAAAGAAGACTTATAATTTGAAATTGAGTCTTCTTTCAACACCCTATGACACCAATTCTACAGGATAAAATCCCTGTCTAAGTTACTCCAAATCAGTTTATATGGAAGAAAATAAAAGGGAATTGTTACCCAGTGAAATAAAATTATGATTTAAAATGACTTCAAAATCACAAGGTACAAAATGCTTTGTGTTGAAAAATGCTATGCTGCTTAACTTATTATTCCTAATTATATTATTCATAAGATTTGCATTTTAAAACTGCTTTCTAATCTGCATGTTACAGAAGATAACTGGGCAGTGATTTAAGTGGTTTTGTTTTCTGTCTTAGAAATTAGTGGTGAAATGCGATTAATAGCATAAATATTAAAGGGAGATATTAGTGAATTTGTATGAACTCAGAATTAGAAATGTCATTTCTGGTTCCTGGTACATTTGCCAATGTGAGAAGAGGATGACAAGTTCTAATTATAAAGTTATGATAATGTGGAACAAAGGGTAGCCACCTTTGGAGGTTCTGGAGAAAATCCTTTGGGGATTTTTTCTGCTTGGCTCAATCAAAAATTCTTTGTTACCAGATGGACTTCAACTGGAGCCTAACTATTCTAAAGGCATTCGTGTTGGTCAAGGCAGATTTCCTCAGATCAAAACATGAATGCTAGTGGCTGACCATTATGTTCCTTAGAAAATTTGAGACTGTCATAAAGCAATAGCCTATGTTAGCACAAATACAGTTGACAGTGAAAAACCTAAAAAATATAATTACAGAATTCTTATTCTTTTGTAATTATACTGTTGCGTTTCTTCTCTACAGTCTCTACAAGAGAAAACGGTGCTGGTTTGTGAGAAACATGTTTAAGAAGCACAACTAGAAACTTAACCTAAGATGCTTTTGCATTTGGGTGGCAGGTGAAAGACAGTGCAGAGTCATGCGAAAGCCATGTGGCCTGCTGATACTAGATCTAGAAATAATATCTGTATCATGCCTTATTAAGATACCTCCTCTGTCGTATCAGGATTTCAAAATAGGAATCACCACACTGATGTACTTAACTATTAGTTAAATGTATGCTCCACTTAAATATCTATGGATTTCATTCTTTGTCAAACACTTTTTTTAAACTTCTTTTTAGGATTCGTATTCAAACAAAGATAGAACCTTGCTATTCATATTTGTTACATTAACATCTTATTTATTTTCCCAGTTTAAAAGAAGAACATTCAAAGCCATTTTTTTCACTTAACATTTGGTGCTGTGGTCATTGTGCCATTCGGTATTTTATTTTATTTTATTTTTCCCATCACCATTTATCCCTCTATGCACTCTTCGACCTTCCCACTCCCCCTTCCACCAATCACCACGCTCTTGTCCCTGTCCATTAGTTCTCTCTTTTTCTTCTCAATCCCTTCATACCCCCAACACACACCCCTCTCCCAGCAGAGCTGTCTGCCTCCTCTCTACCTATGAATCTGTGTCTATTTTGCTTGGTAGTTCAGTTTGTTCATTAAATTCCATATATGCGTGAAAGCATATGGCGCATTAGGCCTTTTTAAAGTGAACATGATTCCCTGGAAGCCGAGTTCCACCACAGCTGACCAAACGAAGCCACGACGCCGCTGCTTTGGAGTTCCATTACGTGAAACCCTCCTAAGATCATTTCTTCCTGAATGGTACCCACACTCATGTTTTATTAGTATTCCATTTGTAATGTTACTGAGGTTGCTCTGCATACATCACAATACACAGTCATCATCATTATTTATTAGCATACTCTTTTTAAAGTGTATTTTAAAAGCATGATAAACTTACCTTAGAGAGCCCACCTACTTCCAAATAAAAGCAGATAATGAACACATTCCACGTGACCCAGAGGGCAGTCCATACTGTATACTAGAGAGAAAGGGGGAGGGTGGGGAGAAAGAGAAGAAAAATGTGGAGATGAAAGGCATATATACCAAATCAATCAATAACAAAATGTCAATGAGCCTAACTCTTCTGGGAAGAAACAGGGTGTGCTCAGGAAAGAGGGCCCCCTAAGATCTGTAGAAATTAAAAATCCAATAGTTTCCACTGCCGTCAGTAGATGCCAATAAAGCTAGATTTATTTTTAAAGTGCATTACTGGCTTGCAGATATAGGTTAAATCCTAGCGCTGACTTGATTTCTGTTTTCTGAATATTAGCTTTCCCAGGGAATGTAATTACGCAAATTTTTGGTGGCTATCTACCTATTTCTCCATTTTTTAGTTATAATATTAAATTGTCAAGTTTTAGAATGTTTTAGTCCATCTTCCTAAATGGACTAATATTACTTCCATCTTCCTAAATGAGGATTATGTTTGAAAATAGATGTGTGGAGTAAAATTAACAAACCATCATTTGTTATACTATTTTATTAAGAGTGAAACAGGTGCCTCTACTATAATCATATAATTACATGATCCTGTAAAATATCTTTTAAAAGCACAGAAATAATAAATAGGATTTACTAGTAAAATGAGTAAATGAACAACAGATTTCCATAATGGAAAAATACCTTCCAATCACATTGAACAAACTATGCTAGCCTTACTGATTAATTGGTATTGTTCATGTAGTATGTATTAGAAAATGCCTTCCTCAAGAGTATTAATCAGTCTGAATCAATAGAGGAGGTCTCAGGGCTCAATTCATCCAGTCACTTTCTTATGTAGATGGAGAGATTGAGGCCCAGAAAACTGATATATAAAACAGCTTGGATGGCTGAGAATTGGTGCTTGCCATGGGACCACAATTAACAGATCAGCTACAATGGTTTGCTCATTCATTTTATTTTACCACAAAAATCTATAAATTCTTAATTTCTTAAAAAGACAAAGTAATTAAATTATTGGTTTCTATCAATGATTATAATCATTACATGCTATTGTCAAATTAAAATAAATATGGAAATCCTTTCATTAGCTTATTCTATTCGGTGTCAAATAATATAAATTGTATACTCTGTATAAAATAGCCATGTTCCTATTAGAAATCTTATCAGAAGCTTTTAGTTACTTATAAAATTTAATTTACACTTCATGTCTTTCTGCTATTTATGACTTTCAAAAAGCTTTCAAAATAATCTATAGTTGGGTAGTCTTATAATTGGTTACATTAGATATCTCATTATCCTTTTTTCTTTTTGAGAATAGGTTTTGCTTATTTGTTTTAAATAATGCAATTATAATAATGAGTCAAGACTTCAAATGACTGGAAATTTAGAAAAGCTGGAAAATACGTTAAAAAGTTAAAGTAAGTTAAAATATATTAAGGCTTTTAGTATTTGCAGGTACATTGATGTTCTGCTGATATCTTCTGTTAGTAGTATCTTTTAATATGAGTGAACTTAGTTTTTAAAAATAGGCCAAATACATTGAAACATATATTTTGAACCACAAAATATTCCCAAGAATATTGAAAATAGCTAAACTACATCAGCAATGTACACTTTTTGCAAACTGGCCAAGTCACAGTAACGACAATAAATTTTAAAGCTGTTGCTAATAAGATGACGTCTGGTATCTGATATTTTTCATCCTAAATCAATCTAATTATGAGTAGATTAGAATGAGAGAGACTACAGACCACTCAGTAATGAGAAAAAAGCTGGAGATAAAGGTTAAGGAAAGGACATAAACTGAAGCAAGACTAACGGAGGAAACGAATGGAATTCATTGCCAAACCATATGGTTTTTAATTTTTAGGATTGCCAACCCAACTCATAAGTATACTTTTAGGAAAGTCAATCTACTCATAACAGTTATAACACCTGGATTATAGAACAAATCTATTTAACAATCAGAGCACAAGTTAGTGATTGAAGTGCATTCCGGGCCCCTCACCAGATGGACTGCTGAGGTCACTTCTGAACTTTCAGAGAGAAAATTCCCAGGATGAGCAGACTCCCACTCTCAGCTGCTAAATTCTTAATAACAAGAGTGAGTACTCTGCTGCTTTCTGTGTTACCGGTACTGTGCTCAGCACTTCACATTGATCAGTTCAGTCAGTCATCACACTACAACCAAGGAAGTGAGGGAATAATTTGACGACTTAGTGTTATTGTTGAGATAGAAACTCTGGAGCTGGGATGCTTAGGATTACATGATAGGATTTATTATAAAAGATCTGAAGAAAAGGACGTAGATTAGTTTGAGAGTTAACACTTTATCAAAGTTTACAGTTTATCAAGTGACCAATTCACCAATTTACTAGTTTACCAAAAATTTATTTCATTTGTGTATATATATATATATATTCGATAACTGGCAATGTTTTTGGAAAGATGGTTTCTTTTGTATTTTGTGATTAATATGTCATGTATGATATGAACATCCTTTTTAAAGCAATAATGTAAGTTTCTTCTGATACAAAGATTGTATGTTTGAATTTTGGATTGTAATGATATGAAAACTGCATATCTCAATGTGCACCTGAGACACAAGTCTTAACATGGAGATAAAGGGAAAGAAATCTCTAGCAATACAAATACATCCATAAATATTTACTTAGGCAGGAAGTGTTAGGACAACATATGTCCTCGTTTTGATGTGGACTATTTTATTTATAATTCAATTCAAAGAAGAATAGAAAAAGAGATAAGACTCCGTTTTTAACAAATGCTCTTTGGTTATCATGAAGCATGCCTACATGCTTACATAGGTAGATAAATACACTTGCAATACACAAGACAACTTACCAATGTAAAAAAAAAAAACAAAAAACAAAATGCAAAAAAACAAAACACTCTGTATAATTATCATTGATCTACCTATTTATTTATCCTACTTTGCTTAAATTTAGTACACATATTTTAAGTTCTAATTTACATAAAGACTATAAAGATTTTTCTAAACTTCATGTGTTCTATGTGCTCTGTGAATATTTCCCAGTTTTATGAAAACATTTCAATATTTTTAATTGAAATGAACTTTAAAAGGTTTGCATTATATTTCATCCTCATTGAGCAATTAGTCTATAACATGATTTATTTTTACTTCCTGAGCTTGTTTGTTTTCCAATTACCAGAAAGCCCATTCATTCATTCATATGTGTATCAATCAGATAAAATATGTACAACAGCTTAGGGAAAAAAAGAAGACATTAAACATTAAATAGCTCAATTACTTACTAAGCACTTACTCTGTTGGGTTATGCTAAGCAAGTCACAAACATTATATAATTCTTACAAACAACTCTGAGTCAGGTTTTTACAAATAAACTATATTACAAAGAAGGCAAATAAATGTGCCAAGTCTTCACAGCCAATAATTGGTGGAGGAGGATTTAAATCTGGCACCAATTAAATGGAAACCTAACATTCTTAACTCGTGTTGAGCAGTAGCTCAGAAAGGAGATGTATGATGACATAGTAAATTTTTTCTATATAACAATTCAAATTAAAGCAACTTGTCGTCCTTCAAACAGAATTATGATCCAAATAATTCTAGGGCAGAATCTCATATTTGAATTCATAAGTAAGATTTTCAAATATGTGAAATAGGAGTAAACAGAGGTAAAGAGCTGATTCTAGAACAGTACTTTAAAACTGCTAAATAGGGTTTCACAACCCACACTCAGCTCCATTTTGTCTTGAGCTAAAGAAACACAAAAGGTGCATACAAGCTCTTCAACTAAACTTGTATTCCCTACTGTAGATAGCCTACCTTGCACTGTAGCTAAAATAAATTTTAATCAGTAAAAGAGTACCATATAACAACGTTGTTTTGTGTTCTAAAAATAAATAGCAAATTTGACCTTTTCAGCAGTAACGGTATCCACGGGGAATTACTGCTCTTTCATTTTGTGATTTGGGTGAATTTTTCTGATAGTCTTTGCTGTGGGACCTCCTTAATCACAGTGGCAGGAGCCCAAGGCATTATAATGCTTAGGAAAAGGTAAGTTGAGGAGTAAGTCAGCTCAACGTAGGTGCAGGCAGAGTAGCATATACTATTTTTTCATGTGAATCCTCAAGTTCAGAATGTGCTAAGCAAGGGAGTAAGGTAAGATTTTCTTGTTGAACTCAGGCATGTTCTGAAGTTAGAGGTCATTTTCTAGTTCATCCTGCAAAAATCATTTCATCCAATAACCGTTAATGTACTTGTTATTTGTATGATCAAGTATTAAGCATCCTGGGATAGACCTAGAATACAGCAGTGAATAGGCATGCTCCTCCTGCAAGGAGAACACTGTTGATGGGGAGAGATGGCCAGAGGCAAGGATGGTGACTGTGGAGAGTGCTAGGATAGAAAGAGCTGCGGGATCTAAGAGAGCAGAGGGGAAGTGGCACTTGTCTCGAGTGGGGTGGTCAGGTCAGACTCTTAAGAGGTGACATTCAGTTGAAGGATTATTACCCACTTCCCAAGTGGGTAAGGAGTGTAGGGCATTCCAAGCGTGTGCAAATGGAAGAGGCAAATAACAACATATGGTCTTAGGAAAACAAATTATTCAGTGTGGTTGGCACGAGTAGTGCGTGGAAAGAAGTGTGCATGCGAGGGAGGACATGCTGCTAGAGCTGGGCACAAACACCAGGCACGGCTTCAAGAGTGAGAGGCTGGAGCTCAGGCAGGAATGGAGGGTCCAGGACGCTGATGTGCACAGACTCTCTGCTCTTTCACGTCTCTGAGGCTGGCTCATGCTCTCCCCCGGCCTCTGCCCCGTTGCATTCTCATTCTCCAGAGCCCCCTGCACCTGTGCCTCCCCACTGCTTACTTAATAAGTTCCTGGAGAGCAGGGACACTGTCATTTACATTCTTTCCCATTTGTCTAACCTATCACAGTACAGTAGGTTCTCAATAAAGGCTTAATGAGTGAATGGGAACTAGTGCTATTGACATCCCACTATGTGCCCTGTAGTGATTCCTCTCCAGAACCCCCTCCAGTCCCTTCTTTCTTGGCGAACTCACACTCACTCCGCATTTACTTCTGCAGAGTCAGATGGATGTTCCCAGTGTGCATCTCATGGTACATGTGTTCCTTGTCACAATTATAATGTAACACGCAAGTGGATGATTTCTTGATAAAGGCCCACTTCCCCTCACTAGACTGTAAGTACCCAGGAGAACAGAGAATAGTTTTGTCTGTGTTTGCTCACCAATGTAGTCCACAACCAATGCAATGCCAAACACACAGCAGAAACCTGATAAATAAAGTTTGAATGAGAAGTTAAGAAAGAAAGAAGGGAAGAAGGGAGGGAGAGAAAAGTGGGAAGGAAGGAATGAAGGAAGGAAGAGGAAAGAAAGAAAAACTGACTGTGAGACCTGAATTTGGTCAAGTGGGTCAGCCAGGAATGTTCTTACACTTTATCCTGTTGAGAGGTAGTGAAGGCTTTTAAGCAACTGCTTCAGTAAAAGTGCTGAGAACACACTGGAAAGGAGGAGGGCTGAAAGCAAGGGAGGGGTCCATATGCAGGAGAGAGAAGGCCGACACCTCAGCTAACACAGTGGCTGTGTGAAGAGTGTGTAGAATTAATGGTTAGCGGGTGAAAGCAATAGGCCAGTTAATGTCACTGATGTACACCAACAACTTTATTCCATGGAAACCACTGGTTTTCGAGCCATCTGACATGTGCTTCAGCAGATCATCAACATCATAAAATAAGAAGTTCATAGTGAGTAAAGGTGTTCTGTGTTCATAGCAATAAACTAGAACATTAAGTCCAATAATCGTTTGATATTATGCATATGAAAGCATCTTATACTGCAAATCCAACTCCATGGAACAGCTTTCTAGTACATTACACCATGGCTCAGCACAGGCCGGCCCCCAGAGAAATCTGAAGCAGGAATTCTGTAGCCCCAACAACCAGCTGAGTGACTTCAATCATGCCTTGTGCCCCAGGGCAGTCATTTTGAGGGCAGAGTCTGTCTGTGAGTCCCTGACCTTCACCTCTGTGATATGATGAAAGACACCAAAAATCCAATTTTGAGATTCAAAGTAGAGAATTAATGCATTTACAGAAAATTTTATGACTTCATTCTTTTCTATAGATATGAGTGCATTATACCAAAATTGAAAGATGACATATTTTTAAGTCTAAAGTTTCTCCTAATGAGGTAATGTTATTAAGTTACAAAAAAATATTTAGTAGTTCCACTGAATTCAGGCTCAATAAGTATTTTAGAGTATGACACTTCTATTTATAATTACTTATCTATGCTTGTTATTTCTTACAACCTTCTTATATCTGTAGCCTAAAATATCACCTTCTTTTTATAGAAAACTATAAAGTTATTCATAATTACTGTGAATAACTTCTGTGCATTTTATTGTGGACCACAATATACATATTGTTAAATTGTACTATGATAGAGGGTAGGCTGACCCTGTTTGGCATAGTTTGGAGCATGGATTCATGTTCCACATTTATCTTAAGCAAATGGAGAAATGGTCAATAATATACCATATAAAATACATTAGAGGTGAGTACTAAATGGCCTTTAGTACGTGCATTTTAATGGCCTAAATCAATTAAAATTATATTATGTTATTGTTTACAGTTGGCAAAATGTTATGGCTAGGTAGGGTACCTTAATAGGTGACACATGTCAACAGAAACAACAGTTAGTGTATATTTACATCTCATAATGACATCAAGACCTCCACCACAGACCTCTTATTCTACCCAAACCCAATTTTAGATTTTTAAAAATTCCTTGTGATACTTGAATTTAGTTACACTGTGAGTCTCACATTTACAGTCATGTTGCTTTGCTCTCATTGTAAACATTCGCTGTCGCCCTTTCCACAGATAATCGTCTCAAAAGAATTCAGTGTGTGACAGCCAGAATAGCAGTGCCACCTCATAGCGGAGGGAACAACTTAAATTATTTTATTCATCTTCTCACAGAAATTTTGTAGTATTTATACGAAGAGACATGGTAAAAATAAGACTTACCACCACGATATATCGAGGTCTGTACTGAATGGTTCCAAACAAACCCAATATGACAACTATTATATGTAGAAAATTTCCAAGAATAGGTGCCCACTGGAAGCCAAGGAAATCAAAGATCTGCCTCTCTAATGCGGAGAGCTAAAACAAAGCAAAGAGAGCCCATTAGCATTGAACCCGAGCACAGTCATACCTTTTTTAAAAAAATTCTCACCTGAGAATACTTTAAAAACAAACAAACTGATTTGAGAGAAAGAGAGAAATATCAATTGCCTCCTGTATGCACCCCCATGGGGGATCAAACCAGTAACCTGAGTATGTTCCCTGACCAGGAATGGAACCTGCAAACTTTTTGGTGGGTGTATAGGACCATGCTCCAACCAACTGAGCCACCTGGGAAGGGCCATAATCATACCATTTTAATCTTTATTTCACGGTAGAGAAGTCTGCATATTCTTTTTCAGTCACACTAATGGACATCATTATCACTAGAGTTGTGATACCTATTTCATATACTGTTTTTTACAGCTTTTCTCAGAAAACATACTAAGATAACTTTGAGCATTATGACTTCAAATATAAATGGATTTTAAACCTATCTGGAGAGCGATCCTCCCTAAATCATTTTCTATAGTAGAAAATCTAGACAGATATTTTATGACACGACATTTTATGATAACAATTTATCATTAGTTTTAGTAAAATGGTTGGCTTACTATAACATATTTGGAATAACTCCAGACTGGCAATACTAAAACTAGTATTGTTTTGGAAAACCAACCCTCCTACCATCCCTTCCTTCCTCTATGAAACATAAATAATCTAATCTTCTGTTTTGTTTTTTTTTCCTTTCATTAGGCTGTCATTGATGTTAATGACTAGCCACTTTTTCACAATGAAGCTTACTTGTTTACTTACTCTGGGCTCAATGCCCTCATGTAATACTAGAATTAGAGATTCCCTTTGAATCATATTTTATTGAGATCATACACCTATATGAAAATGCATCTTGATTAGGTGAAATTATTTTGAAATAAAAATGATAGGGCCATAACAATTTTAGACATGCCACAGTTTATTATATTTGCACTAGAGGCCCGATGCATGAAATTTGTGCAAGAGTAGGCCTTCCTTCCCCGGCTGCCAGCACTGGCTTCCCTCTGGCACCCGGGTCCTGGGCTTCCCTTGAAGCCCCAGCTTCATCTGGAAGATATCTGGAAGGACGTCCAGTCTAATTAGCATATTACGCTTTTATTATTGTTAGGTCGGAGGGCAGTCCAGGAGCCCATGCATACACAGGCAGATGGTGGCGCAGATACTGGGCCCTTCGTGGAATTCCTAACAGGTCAGCACACCAGGTAGATGGTGGCGCAGATACTGGCCCCTCCCTGGAATTCCTAACAGGTCAGCACACCAGGTAGATGGTGGCGCAGATACTGGGCCCTTCGTGGAATTCCTAACAGGTCAGCACACCAGGTAGATGGTGGCGCAGATACTGGACCCTCCCTGGAATTCCTAACAGGTCAGCGTGCCAGACAGACAGCGACAGAAACTCCTTCCTGGAACTCCTGACGGACCTGCCCCAGGCGGGAACTCCCACAGCTCATGCCCCCCGCCCCTCACTGAACAGCTGTATGAAAAAAGGGCCTCCGCTCCCCGTTGGCGCAACTTCACTGGTGGATCTTTGGGACTGGTGGATCTCTCCTGGGCACGCAGATTAAAGCTTCTCTTTTCCTCCTTTCTGACTTGCTTGACTCTCTGACTTTGTCTCCTGCGCCGCAAATCCTTACAATTATTATAGGTGATACACAACTACATTTTAAATAATTCTAAAATGTATTTAAAAGATACACTTAAAGCATTTGTGATGTAAGAGATGAATTTTGAATAGTCCAGTGAATTCCAACAATGTTATTATCATGTACACATGACATTTATTGTATTCTATGTCTAAAAATGTTATAGTTCCACCTGCTGTATTTGGACACTAATCTCGCACATTTTAAGCATTTTTCTAGATTGACTTTGAGAAAATAGTAATTCTAATAAAATGACCCAACCGTTAGCCATAGTTATGGCTCCAGAAACCGCAGATTTGAAGTGAAAATGGCACCCTCGGTATTTTTCTAGTTATGTGGCAGGTGTGTGCCTGAATAGCTTTAATTTCCTTGGACATAAAGAAATGTCCACTGTCCAGTAAGCTGAATCTACCTTGGTTAAGATTCACCGTCAGTAAGCTGTGGATGAGAAAAGAGCAAATGCCTACAGACAACCAGCCAGAACCACATTCATTTCATGGATATTTCCTGATCATCAAGTGATTTGTCATCATGCCCTGCACTCACAAATGAGAAGATGCACAGAAATAGCTAAAAAAATAAAATAAAATAATCAGCAGGATAAGCAACAGCATCCACTGTATTTTCAATCCCTGGTTTGTCTCAGCTTGTGACTCTAATCAGTTCCCAGGAACTTTGCCTTAAAAAATGCAGCATTTTATTTATTGGCCCATCAGTGACGTAAATACGCAGTTTTGTTCTTTTTTTAATGTCCAAACAGGATGGATGTGTTCAGAGAAAAAATAAAGAAAACCAAAAGAGCAGCTGCAGGCAATTCATTTTGAAAAGCAACCGCATTTTAAAGCTGTCGTGCATCACACAAACCTTTAAAGTGAACTTTTCAAACAGAGAAAAAAAACATCTTTTTTTTTTTTCCTGTCAGAAAATGCACGGATAGCATTCTCTTTTATGATGTTAAAGGAAACATGCATAATGAAAGAGAGGCCAAATTAACACCACTTATTGGAAAAATACTCATTCTTTCTTGAAGACACTATATCTCTCTATTAATAATTTGTTCCCTGATAACACTTAAAAATGGATTATAGTGGCTTAAAATAAAGGCAAAAGCACAAGGCTATGAAGAAAATCAAAAGGGGAGATAATATTAAGGGTCAGGCAAGACTCAGCTATAAAAATATACAAACCATTAACTAGATTTGAGTATTGTACCTTAAAAAGACAACTGACGACAATAAAGAGCCCGCCAAAAATAAACAAAATATTGTAGTACTGGAATTTTCACTTAATTTTTTAAACCCTCATCTGAGGATATGTTTTTATTGATTTTGAGAGAGAGAGAGGAAAGGAGGAATGAGAAAGAAACATCCATTGGTTGCCTCCTTGTGAGCCCTGACCAGGGATTGAACCCACAACCTTTTGCTGTACAGGAGAACATTCCAACCAACTGAGCCACCCGGTCAAGGCTACTTAATGTTTAATCTAATTTTCATGTTAAGCTATTTAGGTATTTCGTTTATAGGCAATTATCTTCTCTCTGAATATCATAGCTCCAGAGCGACATCACTTTTTGCCTGAGAGCTTGACATTAATAATAATGGCCCATAGCCATAAAGTTAAATGAAATGATATCCTGTTTGCTTTGTTAACTCAGAAAAAGTATGAGTATCTTTTAGAAATCTCTGTGTCTAGATAGTCTTCATCGATGGTGCACTGAGGCTGCCGGCACAGGCCTGGGAACATGGATCAGATGCATCTCTTCCCAACTTCAAGGCCAGTGACCTCAAGTCGGGAACTGGACATCGGCCATTATGGGGCTATTTACTATGAATGCTGAGAAAGGCTAACAATAAGGGTTTTGTTTATTTGTTATGGGAGACTATTGTTAAGTGTTTACCTGCACACCACTGAATATGGCATCTACAAAACAGTGGTTCCGATCCAGGAGAGCAGTGAGAGGAAGCGATCAAAAGTGTAATGTAGCACAAACAGAAAGCCACCAGTCTGGAGGAAGCAGAAGGATGGAGGGCTCAAAAAGGATTTCTGCACAGATGCCATAGCGAAGAAGAGAATGACTGAGATGTTTGAAGAGCTTGAGGTTTAAATAAACATAAAGAATTCAGCCCTAGCCAGCTTTGCTCAGTGGATAGAGCATCAGCCTGCAGACTGAGGGGTCCCTGGTTTGATTTCAGCCAAGGGCACATGCCTGGGTTGTGGGCTAGATCCCCAGTAGGGGGTGTGCAGGAGGCAGCCGATCAATGATTCTCTCTCATCATTGATGTTTCTATATCTCTCTCCTTCTCCCTTCTTCTCTGAAACCAATAAAGAAATATATATATTTTTTTAAAAAGTAGAGAATTCAGGAAACTATGAAGTTATCAAGACATCCCAAAGAAAGCAAAACCAACCAGTCACCATTTTAAAACAGGAAGCAGTGACATAAAAGACAATGGAATCATTTCTAAATGAAATGTAAGTAGGTAAGAACCCGGAAGCTATAAGAGCATGTGTCTTTTCCTAACAAGTTAAAAAATAAAGGCAATCAGAATCCTAATAAAATGGAAGGGAAGAAGGGAGAAAGGGAGGAAGTGACAAAAAAAAGAGACAAATCAGTGATGCAAAGAAAGCGTGTTTCAAAGATACCATGAAAATTAAAATGGGGTGTAAATAGGAGGCAGTCATTGCAACATTCTCCCTACGTGTCAGAGTGGTGGGGACATTGGAACAATAGGAGAGAAATGCAATCCTAGCTCATTTTAGGGGCTGCATGAAAAATATGCCACACTTATTATAATGTAAATGATGCTTATTGAATCGAAGCTTTCAGAATCAAACTGTTGAAGGCATGGGAGTCTTCATTAAGGTCATGGAACAAAGAGGAAAGTATCATTGGACCATATAAAGTATACCTAACACAGGTGGGGAGAGGCTGGTTGCTCTGTGCCTGAATTCTGTGGCTATATGGCAAGGGGGAAAGAGCGAGTTTTACAATTCTCCCTGCAGGGCCAAGCATCTTCTTATCAGGTTCCAAGATGAAAATATTTCCTCTACATCCATGAATCTTAACCACATTCCATATTAACCACACAGACTCCCGATAGCTCAAGAACTGTCCCTGCTTCCCTATGTTATGCCCAAGAAATGCAGACACGGACAAATACTAGTAGGAGCACTTTCAAAATACAGTAGTTTTCTTACTGATTCATATATTATGCTTAATGCTTCAAGGTATTTTGCATACTTGCTTATAGTTATTACTAATGGTGAGAATTAATTTGCATGTAGTTAACTGAAAATAAGAACTGTAAAACTCCAGGTGACCAAACATTTTCCTGGGCATTTGCCTAGGCTGGGTCTACATAATTAGTAGA